CAAAAAACCATAAACAGTACAAAGTGCTATCGTTCTAGAACGGATAGCCCCACCCGGTTACACTAGAAGTAAGATTACGTGTTGTAACCGGAGAAAAGATGTAAACAAATTGGAATAAAATGACGGATTATCCTGTGTCCATTGCAAGTTCTAGATTCTCAGAAGGGAATTCCATAATTTTATGGGCCATGACATAACCTAGCATTCTGAAAAGGTTAGTCGGAACACGGGAATGACGAAGATGATGTATATGTGTCAGTTGTTCAGCCAGGGGTTCTGTCACAACCTATCACGAAAGCTATTTAGGTCAAGTGTTGATAATTAGAGTTTAAGCCCTGTAGATGTAGATTGCACAGTATAAAGTGTGGATGAACATGAACTGGGAGTAAGTTTAGATCTATGAGGAGTGGGGTGGTGGTTGTTGCCAGGATGGGATTTAGTGATTATACTAACTGCGATGCTTTTTGCAGAGTTATTAAGGCTTAGGTGTGTTGCAGCAGTTGATCCCAATACAAATAGCATAGGTGAGGTATGGAAAAATGAAGAGATGGTATAGTTGTGAGAAGGGCATTTTGCGGCACGTAGTATCGTATCTTGAGAGGATCCCAACATTAAAATAAAAGTATTAATATAGTAGTAATAGTAGTATTATAGTAGAATAGTAGTAATACGTAGTAATAGTCAATAAAGTAGTATATAATATAGCTTAGTAGTAATATAGTTAGAATTAATATAGTAGAATTATTAAAATATCAGTAATATACTAGTATTAGAAATATACTAAAGTAGTAAGTAATATAGTAGTATTATAATTATAGGTATAGTAGAAGTAGTATATAAGTAGAAGTAGATAATATAGTAGAAGTAATATAGTCAGTAGAAGTAATATATAATACTAGTAGTAAAAAAGTATAGCAGTATTAGTATAATATAGTAGTAGTAAGAAAATAGTATTGTAGTTAGTATTAATAGAATAGTAGTAGTAATATAGTATAATTATAAGTAGTAGTATTAGTAATATAGTAGTAAGTATTAAATATAGAATAGTAATATAGTATTGTAATATAGTAGTAAGTAGTAATATAGTAGTAGTAAAAAAGTATAGTAGTATAGTAGTAGTAGTAGTAATATAGTAGTATAGTAGTAATATAGTAGTAGTATTAATATAGTTAGTAGTAGTAATATAGTAGTAGTAGTAGTAATATAGTAGTAGTAGTAGTAAATATAGTAGAAAGTAGTAGTAATATAGTATAGTAATATAGTAGTTAGTAGTAATAAGTATAATATAATAATAGTAGTAATAGTAATATAGTAGTAGTAGTAATATAGTTAGTAGTAGTAATATAGTATAGTAATATAGTAGTAATAAAGTAAGTAGTAGTAGTAAATAGAGTAGTAGTAGTAATATAGTTAGTAGTAATATAGTAGTAGTAAGTAGTAGTAATTATAGTAGTAGTAGTAATATAGTAGTAGTAGTAATATAGTGTAGTAGTAGAATATAGTAGGAGTAGTAGGCAGTAATATATTATTAGTATAGTAGTAGTAGTAGTAATATAGTAGAGTATATATAGTCGTATATAGTATAGTAATATAGTAGTAGTAGTAATATAGTAGTAGTAATATAGTAGTAATAATAATATAGTAGTAGTAGTAATATAGTAGTAGTAGTAGTAATATAGTATATAGTATAATTATAGTAGTAGTTTTATATAGTAGCAGTAGTAATATAGTAGAAGTAGGAGAGTAATATAGTAGTAAGTAGTAGTAGTAATATATTAAGTAGTAGGAGTAGTAATATATATTAGTAATATAGTAGAAGTAGTAAATAGTAGTAGTATAATTAGTAGTAGTAGTAAGTTGGGAGTTATAGTAGTAGTAGTAAGTAATATAGTAGTAGTAGGAGTAGTAAATAGTAGTAGTAGTAGTAATATAGTAGTAGTAGTAATATAGTAGTAGTAGTAATATAGTAGTAGTAGTAGTAGTAATATAGTAGTAGTAGTAGTAATATAGTAGTAGTAGTAGTAATATAGTAGTAGTAGTAGTAGTAATATAGTAGTAGTAGGAGTAGTAATATAGTAGTAGTAGTAGTAATATAGTAGTAGTAGTAATATAGTAGTAGTAGGAGTAGTAATATAGTAGTAGTAGTAGTAATATAGTAGTAGTAGGAGTAGTAATATAGTAGTAGTAGTAGTAGTAATATAGTAGTAAGTTAGGATTAGAAAATAGTATAGTAGTAGTAATATAGTATAGTAGGAGTAGTAATATATTAGTAGTAGTAGTAATATAGTAGTAGTAGTAGAGTAGTAATATAGTATAGTATTAGTATATAGTAGATATAATATAGTAGTAGTAGTAGTAGTAATATAGTAGTAGTAGTAGTAGTAATATAGTAGTAGTAGTAATATAGTAGTAGTAGTAGTAATATAGTAGTAGTAATATAGTAGTAGTAGTAATATAGTAATATAGTAGTAGTAGTAGTAGTAGTAATATAGTAGTAGTAGTAGTAATATAGTAGTAGTAGTAATAATATAGTAGTAGTAGTAGTAATAATATAGTAGCAGTAGTAGTAATATAGTAGTAGTAGTAGTAATATAGTAGTAGTAGTAGTAATATAGTAGTAGTAGTAGTAGTAATATAGTAGTAGTAGTAATATAGTAGTAGTAGTATAGAAATAATAGTAGTAGTAGTAGTAGTAGTAGTAGTAATATAGTAAGTAGTATAGTAATATGTAGTAGTAGTAATATAGTAAGTATAGTAATATAGTAGTAAGTAGTAATATAGTAGTAGTAGTAATATAGTAGTAGTAGTAATATAGTAGTAGTAGTAATATAGTAGTAGTAGTAATATAGTAGTAGTAGTAATATAGTAGTAGTAGTAGTAATATAGTAGTAGTAGTAGTAATATTAGTAGTAGTAGTAGTATATAGTAGTAGTAGTAGTAAATATAGTAGTAGTAGTAATATAGTAGTAGTAATATAGTAGTAGTAATATAGTAGTAGTAATATAGTAGTAGTAATATAGTAGTAGTAATATAGTAGTAGTAATATAGTAGTAGTTAGTAGTAATATAGTATAGTAGTAGTAGTAATATAGTATATATTAGTAGATAATATAGTACTAGAAATATAGTAGTAGTAATATAGTAGTAGTAGTAATATAGTAGTCGTAGTAATATAGTAGTCGTAGTAATATAGTAGTAGTAGTAATATAGTAGTAGTAGTAATATAGTAGTAGTAGTAATATAGTAGTAGTAGTAATATATTAGTAGTAGTAATATTAGTAGTAGTATTATATTAGTAGTAAATATAGTAGTAGTAGTAATATATTAGTATAGTAATATATTAGTAAGTAGTAATATAGTAGTAGTAGTATAGTAATATAGTAGTAGTAATATAGTAGTAGTTAGTAGTAGTTATATAGTATAGATAATATATAGTATATAGTAATAATAGTAGTAGTAAATAAGTAGTATTAATAGTGAATATAGTAGTAGAAGTAATATAGTAGTAGTAGTAATATAGTAGTAGTAGTAATATATAGTATAGTAATATAGTATTAGTGTAGATATAAGTAGTAATATGTATAGTAATATATAGTAAGTAGTAGTAATATATTAGTAGTAGTAGTAATATATGTCTATAATATAGTAGTAAGTATAAATATAGTAGGTGAGGATAGTATATAGTAGTAGTAGTAATATAGAGTAGTAATATTTAGTAGTAGTAGTAGTAATATAGTAGTAGTAAGGAGTAGTAAATATAGTATAGTAGTAATATAGTAGTAGTAATATAGTAGTATTTATTTTTTTTAAGTAGTAGTAGTAATATAGTAGTAGTAGAATATAGTATAGTAATATAGTAGTAGTAGTAGTAGTAAATATAGTATAGTAGTAATAAGTAGTAGTAAATATAGTAGTAAGTAGTAAGTAGTAATATAGTAGTAGTAGTAATATAGTAGTAGTAAATATAGAGTAGTAGTAATATAGTAGTAGTAGTAATATAGTAGTAGTAGTAATATAGTAGTAGTAATATAGTAGTAGTAGTAGTAATATAGTAGTAGTAGTAATATAGTAGTAGTAGTAATATAGTGGTAGTAGTAATATAGTGGTAGATAAATATAGTAGTAGTATTAATATATAGTAGTAATATAAGTAGTAGTAGTAATAATATACGGATAATATAGTTATAAGTAAGTAGTAATATATAGTATATATAATATAGTAGTAGTAGTAATATAGTGTGTAGTAGAATATAGTGGTAGTATAATATAGTGGTAGTAGTAATATAGTAGTAGTAATATAGTAGTAATATAATAGTAGTAGTAATATAGTAATAGTAGTAATATAGTAGTAGTAATATAGTGGTAGTAGTAATATAGTAGTAGTAATATAGTAGTAATATAATAGTAGTAGTAATATAGTAATCGTATGTAATATATAGTAGTAAATAAGTAAGTAGTAGTAATATAAGTAGTAGTAGTAATATAGTAGTATAATATAGTAGTAGTAGTAATATATAGTAGTAAGTAATGTATTAGTAGTAATATAGTAGTAATATAGTAGTAGTAGTAATATAGTAGTAATAGTAATATAGTAGTAATAGTAATATAGTAGTAATAGTAATATAGTAGTAATAATATAGTAGTAGTAATAATATAGTAGTAGTAATAATATAGTAGTAATATAATAGTATAGAAGTAGTGTAGTAGTAGTATAGCAGTAATATAGCAATCCAATTAATCCATTCCAGACACCCAAAATTAACAAAATATACATTTTATAGTGAATAACTATTGTTTTACATACAAACTAGGGCATATATAAACTGAGGTTCCACTGTAGTGGAAGTATAGTAGAAGTATAATAAAAGCATAGTAGAAGTATATTAGAAATATAGTAGAAGTTAAGTATAGTAGTAGTTTTTATGGGAAACTAAAGCAAACTGATATACTGCTCCTGCTGCCCTTATACTTTTACATCATCAACATACTATTTATTACATGC